TCCAGCAACGTCAAGACAATTTGCAGGCCTCTTGATGAAGGTTGCTCCCAACACACAAACGTTGTGCGTTGCTGCTCTAGGTAATGAGATCTCACTCATTACCTTGAAACTCGAAGTGACAAATAAGTTGTCCCTTCGAGCTCTAGTCGATTGTGGGGCGTCCAACAATTTTGTGCGACGCCAACCGCTAGAAGATGGTCACTTCAAGTTTGTTGAATGTGACACACCTCCTACGAGGATGACGGTACGTCTTGCGACAGGCGCATCCGTAACCGTCATGAAGCGTATAGTGAAGATCCACTACACGCTAGAAGATACCCAATGTGACCGATGACTTTATCGTAATGGATTTGGATGACAAATCTGATGTCATCCTTGGAATATCGTGGCAAAGAAGGTACGAACCACGAGTAAACTGGCAACATCGAACAGTAACGATGCCTGCCGCTTATTCCATAGATGGCCATCTGATAAACGTTTTGGAGCGTCCACAAGCGTGTGGATGTTCTACGAGTGAGTGCGATGGCCTCACTTGTGGTACGGTCGTTAGTACGACGGCACAAAACCTTAGTGTACCAAACGGTTACACTTCGGAGCAAAGTTCCGGCGGCTGTGAGGAAACACAGGCTGCGCTGAAGGTACACCACTCGAATAAGTCGAGTGGACTGGGACAAAGATGTATCCCTAGCGGGGAACATCTAGAAGAGAAACAATCGATCGTTCAGGTTAAGCGAAACGATAATCCTAGATCGACTGGAGAGTCTTTCGTAGAGGATCTCGCTGTGGTTGCGCAACCACAGCTAGAGGAAGTAAAGGGAATAAGTCCCAAGATTACAATACGGCGGAAATAAGTTCCCCGAAACCCGCGAGAATAAGTCCCCGGGAAGCCGAAGGAATAAGTCCTTCGAGGCCTGAGGGAATAAGTCCCCAGGAAATGACAGAGACATTGAATGTACTAGTCAATGACGGATCAAGTGTAGGCGCTTATACACTTGATCTGATTGCGCCTCCGAAGTTGACTTCGGAGATCACTCAGTTGTCAACGCTCGAACACAAGGTTCTTGCGTGATATGCGTAGTGGCAAAGTCAAGCAGATCTGCGTACTCATCGCTGACGACGAGTGTGTAGCCGACATAAGGTCAGCAACAATGTTTATTGAGAACGAGAGAGTTCTCAGTAGTTCATCGATGGACGAGGGTGTCCTCGATGAAAAGACACGAGTTGAGCGATATGACTCCCAATCGTGGGAATCGCTCAAGACGAATCAAATCTATGAAGATTTGGTTGAATTCAAGGATGTACTCCCTGAAACTGTTCCGTGCGAGTTCCCGAAGGATAAAGGTATTCGACACGAGGTCGAGCTTAAATTAGGCTCGAAGTACCGTGTCATGAAGCAGTGGCCACTGCCTCGTGAACAAGTACTTGCGATCGACAAGTTCTTTGCCGATCGTTTAGCTGAGGGTCATGTGAGGGAATCAACTTCCCCACATAGCTCTCCGACCTTCTGTGTGCGAAAAGCAACAGGAGGGTGGCGGATAGTGCATGCATTTAACAAGTTGAATGCTGCAACGGTACCGGCTCAGGCGCCGATACCAAGGAAGGACGTAATCATTGATGGTGTGTCAAAGAGTACCATCTTTTCGTCCATGGATTTGATGGATGGCTTCTATCGAATCCTTATGCGAGAACGGGACATACCCTATACCGCAGTGAGCACGACTATCGGCATGCTATGGGAATGGCTAGTGATGCCACAAGGGCTTAGTAATGCCCCTGTCACGTTCAATAGATGTGTATGAACTGTTGAGGCCAGTACGAGAATTCGCACCGAGATATTTCGATGACGTCTTTATTCATAGTCGGGCTATGATGGAAAGTTGGACGTTGAGGTTCACAGGTACCACGTCCGACAGGTTCTTACAATCATGCGAAAGCATCAATTGTATGCAAACCTCAAGAAGTGTATATTTGCAGCAAGCGAAATACCACTTCTTGGGTGCATCGTTGGTAAGAACGGTGTACGTCCTGATCCCAATAAGATCAAGGCGATCACCGACTGGCCTGTGCCAGTTGATGTCAAAGGTCTTCGAAAGTTCCATAGCTTGGTGGCGTACTTGCACAAGTATTCACGCAATTACGCCGAGATGACTGTACACCTCTCTCGTTTGTTGAAAAAGAACGAGAGGTGGTTATGGAACGCTGAATGTCAGCGCTCCTTTGATGGTATCAAGCAGAGCTTGATACAATCCCCAGTCCTAGCAATAGCCGATCAGGACAGGCCATTTCATGTGGTCTGTGATGCCAGCGATTTCGCAATCGGCTGTGCATTAATGCAGTACGATCTTGAAGGCGTTGAACGCGTCGTCTGCTATCAGTCGCGTCAGCTGCAACCAGCTGAGCGGAACTATCCAGTGCATGACAAGGAACTCCTTGCCATGAAGTATGCACTCGCGAAGTTCAGAGTCTATCCATCAGGAGATACACCCTTCATTGTTTACACTGACCATGCGTCATTACGCACGGCAGTGAACAGCCCGCACCTTTCACAACGAATGGCGCGGTGGTTGTCATTCTTTGCAGAATACAACTTTACGGTCGAGTACAAACCAGGACGACTTAATGTCGTCGCTGATGCAATCTCACGTCAGCCCGACTTTGAACCAGTCGTGAAACCCAACAGTGGGACAGCCACTGTTGCGATTATGGCGTCCACAATACCATCTTCAACGTTGTATGATGATGTGAGGCGGGCGTATGCCCAAGATGGTGAGATTGTGAAGTTGTTGACACATCTCTCACAACCATCTCGAGAATCATTAAAACGATTGTCGCCTGCGTATCGATCTGCATCAGATCGATACACTACTCGCGACGGTTTACTGTATTACACAGCCGTTACTGGTGACACACCACGTGTTGTCATTCCAGATGACACTGATTTGCGTTGGCGGGTCATGTTCTAGTATCACGAGGCTCCTATATGAGGACATCGTGGCCGGGAGAAAACAAATCTCACGGTGAGTCGAGATTTTTACTGGCCCCGCCGGTATCAGTTTGTGCGAAAGTACGTTCGCGCATGCGAAGTCTGTCAACGAGTGAAGTCAAGTCCTTCACGGCGTGCACCTTTACAGCATCTACCAGTTTCGGCTGAGTGCTGGGATTTCATCTCAATGGATTTCGTCTTCGGGTTACCCAAAGACGCACGCGGGAATACGGGTATTCTTGTATTTGTTGGCAAATTCAGCAAAATGGTACACCTTGTGGCTGTACCAGAGTCAATCACAGCAAGTGGCTGTGCTTGTGTCTTTATCGACACCATCTTCCGACTTCATGGGATGCCCCGTGAACTCGTATCAGATAGAGATCCACGCTTTACAGCTGATTTCTGGCGTTCCGTGTTCAAATCACTCAGAACGCGCTTGAAGATGTCGACATCTGATTATCCAGAGTCAGATGGTCAGACAGAACGAGCCAATCGTGTCCTCGAAGAGATAATTCGAGGATACGTACACTCCTTTAAGAGTTGGAGTGAGTTCTTGCCCATGGCAGAGTTTGCCATTAACAACTCGGTGCATGCGTCCATGACTCCTACATAGTTTTACGTGCATGGCTTACGCCATCCGCACGTATCCACCTTACTAGAGTGTAACTCTGGTTTAAGGGGGAAAGACTCGCGCGAGCAAAAAACCGATTTGGTTCACGCTCATCACGCTCTGACGATGAGGTCATTGCGTTTGATGCCGATATCGGCAACATCGATATCGAAGAAGATGATGCCAGTGAGAGTGCGGAAGCCCTCACTGAAAAAAATATTGATGTTGCTGCAGTGCACTCACAGCGCACTAAAGCTAACGAGTCATCAGATGAGTTCATACTGGCTCGTGAAATGGGAGTCCGTTTTGAGCAAGACTCCATCGCCGAAGCGGTGGATAAGCAAAAGCAAAACGCTGACAAGAATGGAAGGGCAAACACTCTTTTACTTAATAAAGGTGACTTAGTCCTACTGTCTACGGTTAATCTACCAAAGCATGTAGTGACTAACTTGGGTAGCAGTAAACTACTACCCAAGTACATCGGCCCATTTCGTGTATTGCACCGCCTAGGCAATGCATACACGATCGAGTTGCCACGTAAGATGCGAACGCATCCCACGTCTTACGTTGGTCGGCTTAAGCCGTACCATCAGTACGCTGCTTCTTCCGATGAAGAACGCCCTTGCGCTCAAGTATCTCGCAGAGAGCCTTGTGCTCCAGATGGTGGATATCAACAAGGGTATGAAGAGCAGTTATCTCATCCCGAGACCGATCAACAATCCCACGAGCTACCCTTATCTCGTTACACAGAGATGTCAAAGATCTCTCGTTCTCAAGCTGAGCAAAAGCAAACTCAGCTCGATGCTTCAAGACAGTTTCCGCCAGTTGAAGAGGCCTGTCCCGCTCATGCTCGAGGTCGCCGTGCAACGCAAGGGTTACGCGATCAAAGAAGCTCTCGGGAACACACGGATCCCCATGATCGTGTAGAGAGCGTCTTTCCTCCTCCTCCACCTCCATTAGAGGACTCTCGCGGTGGCCAGCGCTATCTGGTTAGAGCAGCTGTTGAACCACCGCGATGTGAACGGACGTCGGACGAGTTATCTCGTCCGGTGGCGCGGCTATCCCCCATCCTGGGATACTTGTAGGCCCCGCTCCCAACTGATGATCGACGTACTGGGTCTGGTTGAGCAGTACGACGCGGCACATCCTGTGCCGCAGAAGGGCCGCTGGAGAAAGCCTTCCCGGCACGGTCGTAAAGGGATTTCAGGTTGTCAATCCCTTCGTACATCTCAGTAGAGATACGTACGCGCCACCACGGGCTAGTAAGGAGGTAAGCCTCCTTAGGTGCTCGTGCAGAGTTGTTCACACAACATGGGCACGAGTCTCCCCAAGAGAGGCAGGGTAATCCTTTCTCCCTTGACAGACGATGCAGCTTGTAGCGTGCACCTGCCGGGGTTCTCTTCTCAACTAATCACGAGCTTTGATAAGTTTGTTGTTCCAAACGTCACGACCTACATCCTCAAGGTTATGGATGTAGGCGTTCCACGCTTGAAGTAGTGAGGGACCATCACGCTTGTGATTCCCACTGTACCATCGATGTCTAAAGAAAGCATTGATGAAGAATTCATGTTCAGCGCGATAGTTTTTCGCACTGGGGTCAAGGTGATGGATCCTTGACGAATCAAACAACCGTGTTCGATAACGATCACTCGTCGTCACCGACAAGTGATCCATGACGGATTTTGGGGGCATCCATGCCTTCTTCTCGGGAGCAAGACGCAACACGTTGCGGTCCCGCTCTTCCTGCGACGTGGCGACAGAAGGACTGGCACCTCGTTGCGAAGTGGTGTCCATAGGAGAACCGACACCACTGTGAGCGCCCGAGTCTTGCGACCTCGAGCGCCTACGCTTCGGCGATGGTTCATCTGATTCGTCAGACGAACCATAGATGCTACGACGCATAGCATCATCCATGCCACGCTTGGCAGGCGGCTTGGATTCGATCGCCGTCGATACGGATCCGTCTTCCGTATCAGGAGAGTACAAGACACCGAGCTCTTACTCTGTGAAGACATGAGTGTCTTCATGGCCAGCGCCTGCATCACCAAATGACACAGGCTAAGTCGCTTCAGCAACCGATGAGACGTCAGTTGCTGTGGTTTCTGCTTTGGCGTCCGCACAGAGACGTGCAGACGCGCTCTCGACGGCCTTGCTCGCGCATCGCATGGGCTTGTTAACCATGCGATGGATTGTTGGAAAGTGGACTCAGTCCAACAAATGCAAACCCTGTCCCTAATGATTTGGGACGAGGATCCATTAAGTCAATCAGTCACTAAAGTGACTGATGGTTAAGGGGGGGGTGATGTAACGGGGTGAACCGTAACGTAACAATTTATAAGAAGTTGTTAATAGAATATAACTGTAAGAGTTATATTCTCAGAATATTATCATAAGGACAAATATTCTGTAGCACTTACGAGTAGTTCCTAATTGGTTGATATAGGCCATTATATCAACCAACGAAGACGCGCCACGACAGACGCACGCAATGAGTGGTGAGCAGATTGTCGATATGCACATTTGTATTCAGAAATAGTTAGATGAGGATAAATAGTGATTTATTAACAGACATTAACTATGATAAACACAGTTCTACTTTTTACGTTAACCAAGTAATCGCTTCTTCTTACCGTCTTCATCTGCACGTACGAGTGTACGTGAAGTTCCAAGGCACCGCCTCATTCTGTCATCAGAATAAGTAGCTTGTACTGTCACCAGTCCAAGCTTCAGGTTGCCCCGTTACAACCAGGGCCCGTAACAACGAGGGTGACGAGACGCAAGTCATCTTCTCCCTGTCCAATTTGACAGGACGAGCAAAGACTTGGGCCTGAGGGCTCAAGCTTCACGACCCAAAGGTTTTTGAGTCGTTGGAGATCTTGAAGTCTCGGCTTAAAAAGACGTTTGAGCAGCCAAGAGCCAAGTTTAGAGCACGATCTGCACTCCTGAGGTCGGAGAAAGGTAAGCGTGATGTGCACGCTTACGCACAACACCTACGCTACCTTGCGAGTAGCGTTACGGAGAACCATGTTGATGAGCACACGCTCATCAACGTGTTCATCTACGGCCTTGTGGATGGGCCGGTAAAGACCTACATGTTCCGAGAGGACTTCCATACTCTAGAAAAGGCGATAGCGTATCCGACCATGTCTTTAAGCCTCGACGGCAAGTCGGTCCTTAAAAAAATGGACAGGGTCAGGAGGGGCGGAGCACCCTACTGATCCATCAACGTTTAGAGAATTTGCAGGACTCTTGACGAAGATTGCTCCCAACACACAGTCGCTGTGTGTTGCTGCCCCTAGTGATGAGGAGTCTCTCATCACTTTGAAGATCGAAGTGTCAAGTGGAATATCACTTCGCGCCCTAGTCGACTGTGGGTCGTCGAACAGTTTTATTCGACGCCAGTCGCTAGGGGATAGTAGAATCAACTATGTTGAGCGAGAGTTCCCTCCAACGAGGATGACGGTGTGCCTTGCTACAGGCGCACCCGTAAAAGTTAAAAAATGTATAGTGGGAATCGACAACACGCTTGAATGAAAGCAGTACGATGATGAATTTATCAGACTGGATTTAAATGACAAATTTGATGTCATCCTTGGTCTGCAATGGCTTAGAAAATACCAGTCATGGGTTAGCTTGTAGCATCGATCCGTGAAGATGCCTGCCGTTTATCCATCAGATGGCCATCTGATGATAGTCTTGGAGCGTCCACAAGCGTGTGGATGCGCTACGAGTGAGTGCGATGGCCTCACGTGTGGCACCGTCGTTAGTAATACTGCACAAGATTATATTTCAGAAGACCACCAAAATGTGGAACCAGCTTCCGACGCCTGTATAGATACACAGGCTGCGCCGATCATTCACCACTCGAAAGGTCTAGTGGAATGGAACATGGATGCATACCAAGAAGGATGCATCAAGGAAGAGAGATTGGTGTTGTTCAGGATGAAAAACATGTTAAAGCGAGATTGTCGAAGAAGTCGATTGAAGAGCAAGCCCGGTCATCTGAAACATAGTCGATCGAAGAGGAAGTGACTGTTGTAGTACACTCACAGTCAGTACACGTAATGTGAGAAAGTTTCAGCGTTATAAAGAGTGATAACTTCCGAGAGAGTCTTGTTGAGGGTGTGGATCCCCAATCACCTGCGGATTTGTTTTCCAAAAAAAGCACCAAGACATTGAATGTCTTGGTGAATGACTGATCAAGTGTAGGCGCTTATACACTTGATCTGGTTACACCTCCGATGTCTGCTCCGGAGATAATCAAGTTGCCGACGCTAGAATCTAAACGATTCTTGCGAGATCTACATAGTTACAAGATCAAGCAGATCTGCTGACTTGTCACAGAGGACGGGTACGTCGCCAATATTCGTTTGGCACAAGTGTTCGCTGCGAACGAACGGGTTCTCAGTAGCTCATCGATGGACGAGAGTGTCCTCGATGAAAAGACCCGGATTGAGCGATACACGTCTCAATCATCAAAGTCTTAAGAGAAAAATCTTTTGTATAAGGATACGGTTGAATTCTGCAATGTCTTCCCTGAATCCGTGCCATGCGAGCTGCCAAGGGACAAAAGTATCCGGCATAAGATCGAACTGAAACCAGGCTCGAAGTACAGTGTCATGAAGCAGTGGCCACTGCCTCGTGAGCAAGTACTTGCGATCGACAGATTCTTTGCCGATCGCTTAGCGGCTGGTCATGTGAGTGATCCAAGGAGACTCCATTTGGGGAGCGTGGCGCAGGACACTTCGGTCCCTAGCATCTTTATTGGTGCCAGCATGAGCACTGGCACCAGTGTTAACTCGATCCCTTGAAAGACTTCGTTCGTGGTGATGTACAGGTGCATCACCACCTTCCCCACGCGTCCTATCATTAGATAGACTCGCGTGAGGCGGAGAATAAACGGAATAATCACTCGATTCGAAGATCTCGGTCATGATACCGCCGCGTTGACCAGAGCCAGCCAACCTGGCTCTTGCAGTGTCCACCCGGGTAATCCGGAGGCGTGAGGTGCGCCTTCGAGTCGGATGATGCATCCGACTCGCCAGAATAGATGAGCTCTATTGCAGACTCGTCTTGATAACAACTCGAGGTACCCGCTTCTGATGCAATGGGTGTATCTGTCCCACGTGGTGACTTACCACGTGGACTGTTCACAGCAGCAGGCGAGGAATCACCTGCTAATGAGATGTGATAGGTATCTTTACCGGCTTGCGTGCAGCCGCCCTTCATGCTGCTGCAGTAGCAGCTCGCGTGGTTTTGGAAACTATGCGTTGGATTGGCAAAAGAAAGGAATTTGACCAACAAGTGCTCCCTTTACCAGAGTGATCCAACGGTGGCCAACCTGTCCCAATCAATTTTAATTTAATTAACGAATGATTGATGATCAAGGGGGGGTTGATGTAATGGGGTAGCCCGTTACATGAATTTGACACCAAACATTGTCAGTTGGAATATTGTCTAGCATGACAACATCCTGCCAATATTATCCGAGGTGAATAATCTTGAAGGAATACTACCCCTTGTGAATAAAATTCATGCGCTGCTCCAATATTGGTTGATGAAAGACACATCAACCATCAATTGCCACCAATCGCTGCTAAACGCGCACAATGAGTGGTGAGCAGGTTGTCGTCATACGACGGCGAAGTTTAATATAGTTGTAAAAAGATTAAAGTTAGATTGATAGCTAAACTATACTAGATACAGTTCATTTTTTACCTTTACTTGAACGAGTCGTTCAAGTAGTTTAGCTTCCTCTGCACGTACTAGTGTACGTGGAAGTTTCGTGGCACCCAAACAAAGGGTGCCCCATTACAGATTTTGGGAATTATACACCGATGCGGAAGTTTGCCGTACTCAGTGGGGCCAAAGAAGCCGATGTTGAAATGTTTGATTGAAGCTATCGATTGGATAAAACCATAGGATGATATTAAAGCACGTACGAGGAGGTGAAAAAGGTCAATCGCCGATTTGTACCGGATCGATCTCCAACATTTCGATATTGGAAAAATGATCGGTCAGTTTCAACACTGACCATGGACATAAGGTTAATGAAGATACGGGATCATGTGGAATGTACTTGATGGAGGTCCCTAAAAGATGTCAAGAATTTTCAGACCGATGAACCAGCAAAAGCCGTCCGAATTGACGTCACAAAGTAGATTTGGACACATTCGGCAATTTGGGTCCTATATTAAGTACTTTGGCGCCAAGAATGGGTCCTTATGGCTATATTTAGGATTCGCGTATACTTGTTGTTCTAGGTACGATATCGGGAATACTGGCGCTATCATTGTAGTACAGGGCACGAAATTTCAACAAGTGGCAAGGGGGCGATTTAAGCTCAGTATGATATCGGTGTGAAGAGTAAATCATATCTAAGAATAGGCTTAGGGGTAGGTTGGAAAGTAATTTGGCTGGTTAGTCAACACACTTGAACTTTACTTCTTCCACATACTCCACGCGTCCTCCTTTTTTTCCGGGTAAGATACATTTGGCTAACCGACTGCTCAAGGAACGCGTGCTCAAGAATATAGAAGACCGATCTTGGACTGTTGACCAAGAGCGACAAGAGCGATATCAGGGAACTTGGCCCAGGTCGATCAAGATCTCACACACTCATCTCACTGCTAGGGTGGCAGCAACACGGTAAGGGCTTTAGGTAACAAGAACGTTAGACGGCTTAAGTGGTCAGAAGGCTCGCGACTCATGTACCATATTTTTATGGCACAAGGGATCAAGGCTGATCGCGGCAACTCTAGGAGAGCGCCAACCCAGATCACGCGATCGAGTGGGAAATTTTTACCCGATCGACACCAATTTCTAAAACGGTCAAGTTTAGCTTCGATTCAAGTCCATTTAGAAAAGCGCAACCCGCCCTACCGACGGGTACACAAGGTGAGGAGGAAACAAGT